ATCGTAGTTCCACGGAATACCTCAGGCGATTTATGAGTCCTGGAGTCTTCATCAGTATATCAACCCCTTAGCTGTCTCCAGGAACAAAATAATGAACAGGTTGTAGCAAAAAATTGTGATGAACTTCGACAAAAATGATGCAATTTTATTTCACCAATGAATCCCTATATTTGCTTTAAATCCCTTATCATATCCACTTTTATCGCCAAATGTATTCGATTCTTTTGCAAAATCGTTATCATCTGTGCATGAAAGTCGATTAATCCCTCCTGTTATCAGCAAAATTTGAAATTAGTTGTCAGTTTTATACAGCCGTGGTGAGATTCAAAAATATTTAGATGAATTTGGGAAAAGTTACGACTAAAATGCCTTGTTTTAATAACATTTTATCGTATTGAAGTATTAAGTATTATTAATATGGAAATACCTAGTGCCTGACAGGTCTTGCATTCAGTCAGATAATATATGTTGAGAGGTGAAACTTGTCAATGTATATCAAACGTTGTGAACTATATACGTACACATACAGGTTGTTGTTAGTCTCCCAAACCAAGTAAGTCTCTCCAGTACTGAACAACACTTATATAACCTTGACCATGCTCCTGAAAGAGGATAGAACAGTAGCGCTTCGGCTTGCATGGGAGACAGTGTTTAAGTGGGATGAGTGTCATTAAAAATTGGTTACTTGCCGAGATAAACATTGACAGACAGGTCATGGCGGCTCAGCTTCCTCTGTTGGAGGCCAGAATACCCGATGTCGGACATCATTTTTTTGAAGTAGTTTCAGGACAATACTACATAATAAGCAGGAACATACTGAAGCGAAAAGGTTTGGCATGTGGACTGAAACCTTTAAATTATAGTGATAGCGTGTAATACTATTTCCTATGTGTATGCTGTATACATTCTTTCTGCCTCTTCAAGGGGCACTAAGTATCTCCATGTCCTATGGTGCCTATTAACTTGCAGCTCAACATTGAACAAATAATCAGTGCATGTTTGTCGAAGCCCAGGCGTATATGCGGCGGTACAAAGTGGTTATCGCAATAACTACTCTATAGAAGAGTGAAGAATAACAAAACACTTTACGCTGAAGCCAAGCCAAATTCTTGACACAATTAAGTTGAAATTAATTGCATTTCGTAAGAAGAGGAAAAAAATGTCTGTTTTTCATGGCGACAAAATCTAGCTATTATCGACAAAATTCAACAACTAACTGAACTAGTGCTGCAAAAGCCGAGAAACCGAAATAAATATAAAGAGGAGAACGTATTATCGGCTTTAATACTAGCCAAACTAGAGCTGATGCTCTTCAAGCATGGTTAGCCTATATTTACTAGGATATAAATAACGATTCGGAGAATTGGCGCTATTTACATCCAGGAATAAACACTTTACTTTGATGACATTTACAACAGATGTCATTGTGTTGGTTGAAAGACTTACACTGAAAAATGATCTTGAGTTTAAAATAGAAAAAAAAACAATAAGATTACACACAATGAAACAAGGGACTTGCTGAGGCTGTGTTCACCAGAACGGGAGGCTGTCACTGTATTGATTCTCGGTTCTGATGTATTTGGCTGGAAAGTCTGATTGCGAGAGAAATGATCAATTTTTCTTCTGTCAGCCCGGGGTGCAAAGAAAAGCCCTGAACAGCCGTACCTACCTACGTGGGTAATTGGACTCGGGTTTTGGCTCCCTCAGGCTCACAATAATGATAGTGTATTCAGAAATGAAAATGCCCCCGAGGCAAAGACTTTGCCTTTACTCAGAAGGATCCCTAGAGGTGTGGCAGGACCTCTTCGTGTCAGCTTGTTAGAAGGGAATAGTTCACATACAACATCCGTATCGCAAATGTTTTCCAATACCAGATCAGGTATCTAATCATCGGTGTGTGTTTCTCCGTCAAATAGATAAACAGTGAGGTGTGTTTCGTTGTATGAAGTCGTGGAGATGAGTTACATCCTTAATTGAACGCATGTTTCGAAAATCGCAAAAAAACACCCTACCTGCAGTTAATTGGAAATTAGCTCTTCTAAAGACCTAAGCATTAATAATGTTCGTTTATTTTTCAATAGCAAAATCCTGTTGCTTATGAAGAACATCTTGCTTAATACATTCCTAAATAAAATAAAAAATGCTATAGAATATAAATAGTATGAAAACCATAATTAATATGTTAGAGTGTTATTGTCCGGTAATCTTTTGCTGTATTTTGTATTGAGCGTGTGCCATCATATATGTGACTATCAGTTACCTAAGCTTTCCTTAAATACATCACATTGACCAGGTTAACTGTGGTCAAATAAGGGTTAAACTTTAAATAACAATACGGGGTTATCGTAAACGTCTAAAACAATATCACTTTTTAAGACTTTGTACTGTTTTCCCAATGTATTGTGTTGAGGTCAAAAGTTAACTTGGACAGCTCTGGGAGCAGTGTAATCTCCTTTGACCTCGAAATGTGCTCAACGGCTAGCGGGGTTGATGGGCAATAAAGTTTCATTCTTTAAAAGTAAGATCATATTATCGTAAAGCTTGTCGCTGCCAACAGTATAAGTAGGCATAAAGACACGAGCTTGACCAGCATACGACTTTCAGGCATATATATTGTTCAGTTGTCAAGCTCATATAGTAACCAGTATGACAAGCAAGATGAAGCCCACAAGCCCTTTTATTTATCGTATACTGTGTATAACTTATATTTCGGTTGACGTTTTGTTTTTTGTGCTTAGCGTTTAAGCCAATTGTGAATTATAGAACCAAACAAATGATAATACATTACATGAGACATACACTTGGATTCTTGTTCAGCTCGTGGAAAGTAGTCGGAATCTAGAGAATGCGACCTTTTCACATATTAAGCAGGATATCTTAAAAAAAGCATCGAAACACAAGAAAATACAAGTTAATTCAAAGGTATTTTAGCCTACGACTAAATACCGAGATATAATATCTCCGACTAAATACCGAGATATAAAATCCCCAACAAAATACAAAGAGACAATATCCCCTTATAAATACCAAGAGATAATATTTCTGACAACAAAATAAAGAGAGATAAAATCACCAACAAAATAAATAGGGAATATCCCCAAGAACAAAACAAAAACCTGAGAGATATTAGATCTAAAAAAAACAAAAACAGGGAGAGTTATTTTCTCCCAACAAAACAACCAGATAAAATCCCTCACAAATACGAAGAGACAAAAAGCTACAACAAAATACCGAGATATAAAATTTCTGAAGAAATGATGGGAGATAAATTCGACAACGGAAAAAACGGGAGTTCATTTCCCCAACAACAAAATACCGAGAGATAATATTTCCAATAACAGAAAAAACAAAAGGTATTATCCCCAACAAATACAGAGATATGGTAGTTCTCAACATATATATGAGATATCTAAATCTACAGCAAATATCCAGAGATAAAATCTACAACAACAAAAAACGAGAGATAAAATGTTCAACAAAAAACCGAGATTAAAATGATCTACAACAAAAGCCGAGATCAAATAATCTCCAACCAAAAACCGAGATCAAATGTCCCCAATATCAAACCGGGTGATAAGATATCTTATACAAAAATACCGAGAGGTACTAATCCCACACGACACTGTGTGTAGGTGATAACATATACCATACAAAAATACCGATAGGTACTAATCCCACACGACACTGTGTGTAGGTGATAAGATATCCCATACAACACAACCCGATATGTACTAATCACACACGACACTGTGTGTAGGTGATAACATATCCCATACAAAAATACCGATTGGTACTAATCCCACACGACATTGTGTGTAGGTGATAACATATATACAAAACAACCTGATAGGTACTTATCCACCACGACACTGTGTGAAGGTGATAGCATATCCCATACAAAAAAAACCAAGAGGTACTTATCCGACACAACACTGTGTGTAGGTGATAAGATATCCCATACAAAAAACCCAAGAGGTACTTATCCGACACAACACTGTGTGTAGGTGATAAGCTATCCCATACAAAAATACCGACAGGTACTAATCCCACACGACACTGTGTGTAGGTGATAGATGAACCACATTCTTTTCCTGAAATAAAGACAAGTGGTATCACCAATGTCAGCTGTGTATCTACATGGCTTTATGGTAGGCAAAATTGTCACCATATTATTTTTCAACCGTCTAACTATTGATTTAATGTCCTAGATGATTCTACGTTATCAAAGTGTATATGGCAGTATTGAGGTCTATGTCGCCGCCGAGTTTAAAACGCATGTTTCGTATACGAGTTGTTTTTCTTTTATCGTTACACTCGAATGACGCGGTGCCTAGGAGGATTTGTAGGGTATGCATATTGTTTCTACTGTGTGATGTTGTTACTGTATGATTACCAAATGACAATATATCTCATGAATTGTTGTTTCCTTACCTGCTGGACACCAGTATTGCCCTTTTGGACAGTATTATCACAAGCTGCTTCCTTCCAAAAAGAGTTGCACAATTACAAACCTCTATATAATATATCATTTATTAATGGTAATTGGACTAACGTTATTAATACAGTTCCACTGTTGGCCACTGTTCAGCAGATGTTGTCGGGCCTTTCATATATAGAACTCAGACATGTTCCTGTTATGTACCAGTAGTACATCGCCAATAGCCCACGGATGTACATTTGTACGCTTCCATTCAGAGTTTAGGATATATTGAACTACATTCAATGTCTATATATACGTGTTCCTTCACATCTGTGTGACAACTAACCTTAATTGAAATTTTAATTCATTTGCATTTGCTGCCGAAGCCATAAAAACAGAAATATGTCTTTAAATCAAAATGTTTTCAATTCACTTTTTGTGGACAATCATGGCAGCGTTTAAAATCTTAAACTATCTACGTTTTATATATATAATTTCATATCTCTTTACATTTAATAATCATATACGCAGATAACAGTGTTTTATACATAAGCTTATTTTTCTTCTTTTATTTTTGTAGCCAAACTTGACGGCGTTAAAACGTACATGTCTCTCCGACGAGTACCCCTACGACTACAAGACCGGGTGATTAAATGGTTTGACTATCTTTGGTACTGCAATAAATCAACAGATGAAGAAAGAACTCTGTCCCTCCTACCCGATAAACTCAAGGCAGAAATCGCTATCCATGTCCATCTAGATACCTTGAAAAGAGTGGAGGTATTCCAGAACACAGAGGCAGGATTTTTATGTGAACTTGTTTTACGGTTAAAACCAGTATTATTCTCTCCAGGGGATTACATATGCAGAAAAGGTAGGTGATTTTACTTATAATTTTTAAACATATTTTGATTGGTGTAATAAATATGACTGTACATGATATCAATTATGACGTCATGAAGATCACACGTCACATAGTTTTACATTGTCCTGAACTCGTCTTTGATATACACGTGAAGGGATACATTTGTATATATATGTTTATGTCTTCTGTTCTGGTCGGCCGTTAAGGGATGGTTAGTTAACGCGTTTCTCTCGTGGAGGACTTACTCTGTGTTAGGTCGCTGATTGGCCTGTTATTGTAATTAGTTGTACCCTCTCGGCGTTGCTATTTAAGGCATCAAGGTTGTTGAACAAAGACCTATAAATAAAGCATCAATGTGTGAGAACTACCATTTGTTGAAATATATATATGCTCCAAAGCGCTGTGCTGTCTGACCCTGAACATAGCCGGTGGATGTATGCACACATTGATTATCATAGGTAGGGGATGATGTACGTGCATATGTCACAATCTACGGCTGGCTCCAATATGTACACCAGTAAACCCTCCACCGGCCTACCCATTTGTCTTCCTGTATGGCATCTTTACAATTTGCTTTCTCTCGAATTTAGGAGAACAGGGTTACAAACTGTTTACATAGCCTTTCGATTTTGTCGACAACTTATCATTTTTAGACTCACGTGCTTGCTGATCAGTTTTGATTAAAAGTTTATTGAATGCAATGCCTTATTACTACCGTTTTTGTTCTACATTCTGCGAACTCGATATTTTGTGTTTATTTGCATAATCTAAGGATATTCCAAATAAATTGTTAATATTTAAGACACGTTACTACCCATAATTCAAATAACTTCATCAGACTCAATTAAATAATGGCCATAAATATATCGTTTCCAATTTCGAATTGGTGTCATCGCGAATAAGTCAGTTAAATCAAGACGTTTGACAAAATAGATTAATTTAGCGTACCATATACATATACAGGATATCTTACAATGTCTTCAGTAATACCGAACATATTTCACGAGTGTGGAATATATTTTTTATATCTTTCATGAGTGCGCAGCACGAGCGCAATATATCAAAACGGTCATATCAAAATGTAAGTCACACGAGCCACATTCGTGAAATATATTTGGTATTACTAAAGATACTGCTAGATATTCTGTTAATTACACTCATTTTCGAAAACCTACCCTGGAGGCGGCACATTAAGCTGATACTACCTGATATGGGTCATTTTACCACTTGCACTTCTAGACAACCCTAGGCGACAAGATATAGTCCTCTCTGCAAATATTTGTATTAAAATGTAAAAACAAAAAGCCATCATCACAATTCCTATAATTACACATTTTAATATTTTAAAGTAGGTACTTTAGTTCATACTTTTTTAATGAATTACGCCATATTATTACTATCATAACGTCATTATTTAATAAAAGTCCAGTCATATCAACTGGGATCACTACGCATTGATTTATAAGCGCCGAATCTGAAATGGTGGGGAGAGGGGACATTGCAGAGTTCATTTGTCACCACTTATCCTGGCGATGAAATAATAACACCACCTCTGTAAGTTATACTAATGATTATGGTTCTTTTATCATTTCTGCCAATCACTTAGACCAACTTAGGACTTGGAGACGATGACAGCTTATGTGATGTTATATGTGATAACACTGTCAACATCACCTTTTAAAGTTCATATCACATCATTATGTACCATAACTGTAAACTGTGATCTGTGATACATAGTAAATATAAATGAACTAGATTAGGTATAAATGATATCGTTTAAAGTTTAAGGTCACTTTGTGTTTCAAATATGAACTATAAACCCAGAAGAAATTGCTAAAAAGCAAATGTGAGAACAATATCTGCTTTGTGTCTTCTCGCAGCCTACCAGGAAACCTGGTTTTGTGAGCAACCTCTCTCCGTTGTTACTGCTGGCTGTACTGGGTAGCCTACCTCGGTATATAGAACATTTTACTTTTACCTGGGGGCTGAAACGTTGGTCGGCGAGTCTCGAACACGGTTCACACCAGCATCAATGACGTCGGCTGTAAGGTGGCATGGGGACAGTGACATTTGCCTTCCACCTTTGCTGTCCTGCAGAGAAAGTGAGAGAGTCTAAATATTGCGAAGTCGTTCATGTCAATGATTGTTTTTGTTCTCTTTGTGTTTGCTAACATTATGTTTTGATTTGAGCCAGAACCATATTTTTCTCATACGTCAGAATGCCTGTTTGATAATGTACCAGACATATTTCGTTTATTATAGCTCATTTGGGAAACATAAATAGTTACCAGACAGTACTTAAGTATCTTCAGAAGTAATGAAGTAATGGTGAACGTGTGTGTCTTGTATAAACATTCGTGCATTGCATTGCTACTAAATTATCACTACCCAAATATAACACACATTCGATCTGTGATATAATGGCGAAAGTCTGTAGCTATTAACCTATTTGATAGTTGTTCTTTTATTTGCCAAGGAAAATATAACATTATAATATACCAGGCAGTATCCGTTTATATAACACCGTGATATACAAGGCAGTATCCGTGTTTACAACACTATGATAAACAAGGCCGTATCCTTTTATATAACACTGTGATATACAAGGCCGTATCCTTTTATATAACACGATGATATACAAGGCCGTATCCTTTTATATAACGCTATGATATACAATGCAGTATCCGTTTATATAACACTATGATATACAGGGCAGTAGCCTTTCATATAACACTATGATAAACAAGGTAGTATCCGTTTATATAACACCGTGATATACAAGGCAGTATCCTTTTATAGAACACTATGATAAACAAGGCCGTATCCTTTTGTATAACACTATGATAAACAAGGTAGTATCCGTTTATATAACACCGTGATATACAAGGCAGTATCCGTGTTTACAACACTATGATAAACAAGGCCGTTTCCTTTTATATAACACTGTGATATACAAGGCCGTATCCTTTTATATAACGCTATGATATACAAGGTAGTATCTGTTTATATAACACTGTGATATACAAGGCCGTATCATTTTATATAACACTATGATATTCAAGGCCGTATCCGTTTATATAACACTATGATAAAGAAGGCCGTATCCTTTTATATAACACGATGATATACAAGGCCGTATCCTTTTATATAACCCTATGATATACAAGGCCGTATCCTTTTATATAACCCTATGATATACAAGGCCGTATCCTTTTATAGAACACTATGATAAACAAGGCCGTTTCCTTTTATATAACACTGTGATATACAAGGCCGTATCATTTTATATAACACTATGATATTCAAGGCCGTATCCGTTTATATAACACTATGATATACGAGGCCGTATCCTTTTATATAACGCTATGATATACAAGGTAGTATCTGTTTATATAACACTGTGATATACAGGGCAGTATCCGTTTATATAACCCTGTGATATACAAGGCAGTATCATTTTATATAACACTGTGATATACAGGGCAGTATCCGTTTATATAACACTATGATATACGAGGCCGTATCCTTTTATATAACACTGTGATATACAAGGCCGTATCCTTTTATATAACGCTATGATATACAATGCAGTATCCGTTTATATAACACTGTGATATACAAGGCAGTATCCGTGTTTACAACACTATGATAAACAAGTCCGTATCCTTTTATATAACACCATAATATACAAGGCAGTATCCGTTTATATCACACTATGATATACAAGGCAGTATCCGTGTTTACAACACTATGATAAACAAGTCCGTATCCTTTTATATAACACTAGGATATACAAGGCAGTATCCTTTATATAACACTATGATATACGAGGCCGTATCCTTTTATATAACCCTATGATATACAAGGCCGTATCCTTTTATATAACACTGTGATATACAGGGCAGTATCCGTTTATATAACACCATGATATACAAGGCAGTATCCGTGTTTACAACACTATGATAAACAAGTCCGTATCCTTTTATATAACACCATAATATACAAGGCAGTATCCGTTTAGATAACACCATAATATACAAGGCAGTATCCGTTTAGATAACACCATAATATACAAGGCAGTATCCTTTCAGATAACACTATGATAAACAAGGCAGTATCCTTTTATAGAACACTATGATAAACAAGGCCGTTTCCTTTTATATAACACTGTGATATACAAGGCCGTATCCTTTTATATAACGCTATGATATACAATGCAGTATCCGTTTATATAACACTGTGATATACAGGGCAGTATCCGTTTATATAACCCTGTGATATACAAGGCAGTATCCTTTATATAACACTATGATATACAGGGCAGTAGCCTTTCATATAACACTATGATAAACAAAGCCGTATCCTTTTATATAACACCATAGTATACAAGGCAGTATCCTTTTATAGAACACTATGATAAACAAGGCCGTATTTTTTTATATAACACTATAATATTCAAGGCCGTATCCTTTTATATAACGCTATGATATACAATGCAGTATCCGTTTATATAACACCGTGATATACAAGGCAGTATCCGTTTATATCACACTATGATATACAAGGCAGTATTCTTTTATATAACACTATGATAAACAAGGCAGTATCCTTTTATATAAAACTATGATATACAAGACAGTATCCTTTTATATAACACCATAATATACAAGGCAGTATCCGTTTAGATAACACCATAATATACAAGGACGTATCCGTTTATATAACACTATGATATACGAGGCCGTATCCTTTTATATAACGCTATGATATACAATGCAGTATCCGTTTATATAACACCGTGATATACAAGGCAGTATCCGTGTTTACAACACTATGATAAACAAGTCCGTATCCTTTTATATAACACTGTGATATACAGGGCAGTATCCGTTTATATAACCCTGTGATATACAAGGCAGTATCCGTTTATATAACCCTGTGATATACAAGGCAGTATCCGTTTATATCACACTATGATATACAAGGCAGTATCCGTGTTTACAACACTA